TCTTCCCATATTAACAGGGACTTGATGAAATTAACGTCTAAATGACCCCTCACTTGCTCTAGTGCTCTTGGGAGGTGGTGATCTTTGGTGTATTTAAATACTCCGAAATTACCATCTCTTTTAAGGGTCTGAGCTGGTGGTGGAGCGGGTTAAGGCGTACCTGTTATGCCAGTTGCTGGAAGGCTTCTGTGCTGGCTAGGGTTCGAGTCTCCTGGTGGGAAAGTGTTCTAAAGTTGTACACTTCACTCTCGTGTTTAGGAGAGTTGTGCCTTAAGCATAGACACTGTGTCTTCCCATATTAACAGGGACTTGATGAAATTAACGTCTAAATGACCCCTCACTTGCTCTAGTGCTCTTGGGAGGTGGTGATCTTTGGTGTATTTAAATACTCCGAAATTACCATCTCTTTTAAGGGTCTGAGCTGGTGGTGGAGCGGGTTAAGGCGTACCTGTTATGCCAGTTGCTGGAAGGCTTCTGTGCTGGCTAGGGTTCGAGTCTCCTGGTGGGAAAGTGTTCTAAAGTTGTACACTTCACTCTCGTGTTTAGGAGAGTTGTGCCTTAAGCATAGACACTGTGTCTTCCCATATTAACAGGGACTTGATGAAATTAACGTCTAAATGACCCCTCACTTGCTCTAGTGCTCTTGGGAGGTGGTGATCTTTGGTGTATTTAAATACTCCGAAATTACCATCTCTTTTAAGGGTCTGAGCTGGTGGTGGAGCGGGTTAAGGCGTACCTGTTATGCCAGTTGCTGGAAGGCTTCTGTGCTGGCTAGGGTTCGAGTCTCCTGGTGGGAAAGTGTTCTAAAGTTGTACACTTCACTCTCGTGTTTAGGAGAGTTGTGCCTTAAGCATAGACACTGTGTCTTCCCATATTAACAGGGACTTGATGAAATTAACGTCTAAATGACCCCTCACTTGCTCTAGTGCTCTTGGGAGGTGGTGATCTTTGGTGTATTTAAATACTCCGAAATTACCATCTCTTTTAAGGGTCTGAGCTGGTGGTGGAGCGGGTTAAGGCGTACCTGTTATGCCAGTTGCTGGAAGGCTTCTGTGCTGGCTAGGGTTCGAGTCTCCTGGTGGGAAAGTGTTCTAAAGTTGTACACTTCACTCTCGTGTTTAGGAGAGTTGTGCCTTAAGCATAGACACTGTGTCTTCCCATATTAACAGGGACTTGATGAAATTAACGTCTAAATGACCCCTCACTTGCTCTAGTGCTCTTGGGAGGTGGTGATCTTTGGTGTATTTAAATACTCCGAAATTACCATCTCTTTTAAGGGTCTGAGCTGGTGGTGGAGCGGGTTAAGGCGTACCTGTTATGCCAGTTGCTGGAAGGCTTCTGTGCTGGCTAGGGTTCGAGTCTCCTGGTGGGAAAGTGTTCTAAAGTTGTACACTTCACTCTCGTGTTTAGGAGAGTTGTGCCTTAAGCATAGACACTGTGTCTTCCCATATTAACAGGGACTTGATGAAATTAACGTCTAAATGACCCCTCACTTGCTCTAGTGCTCTTGGGAGGTGGTGATCTTTGGTGTATTTAAATACTCCGAAATTACCATCTCTTTTAAGGGTCTGAGCTGGTGGTGGAGCGGGTTAAGGCGTACCTGTTATGCCAGTTGCTGGAAGGCTTCTGTGCTGGCTAGGGTTCGAGTCTCCTGGTGGGAAAGTGTTCTAAAGTTGTACACTTCACTCTCGTGTTTAGGAGAGTTGTGCCTTAAGCATAGACACTGTGTCTTCCCATATTAACAGGGACTTGATGAAATTAACGTCTAAATGACCCCTCACTTGCTCTAGTGCTCTTGGGAGGTGGTGATCTTTGGTGTATTTAAATACTCCGAAATTACCATCTCTTTTAAGGGTCTGAGCTGGTGGTGGAGCGGGTTAAGGCGTACCTGTTATGCCAGTTGCTGGAAGGCTTCTGTGCTGGCTAGGGTTCGAGTCTCCTGGTGGGAAAGTGTTCTAAAGTTGTACACTTCACTCTCGTGTTTAGGAGAGTTGTGCCTTAAGCATAGACACTGTGTCTTCCCATATTAACAGGGACTTGATGAAATTAACGTCTAAATGACCCCTCACTTGCTCTAGTGCTCTTGGGAGGTGGTGATCTTTGGTGTATTTAAATACTCCGAAATTACCATCTCTTTTAAGGGTCTGAGCTGGTGGTGGAGCGGGTTAAGGCGTACCTGTTATGCCAGTTGCTGGAAGGCTTCTGTGCTGGCTAGGGTTCGAGTCTCCTGGTGGGAAAGTGTTCTAAAGTTGTACACTTCACTCTCGTGTTTAGGAGAGTTGTGCCTTAAGCATAGACACTGTGTCTTCCCATATTAACAGGGACTTGATGAAATTAACGTCTAAATGACCCCTCACTTGCTCTAGTGCTCTTGGGAGGTGGTGATCTTTGGTGTATTTAAATACTCCGAAATTACCATCTCTTTTAAGGGTCTGAGCTGGTGGTGGAGCGGGTTAAGGCGTACCTGTTATGCCAGTTGCTGGAAGGCTTCTGTGCTGGCTAGGGTTCGAGTCTCCTGGTGGGAAAGTGTTCTAAAGTTGTACACTTCACTCTCGTGTTTAGGAGAGTTGTGCCTTAAGCATAGACACTGTGTCTTCCCATATTAACAGGGACTTGATGAAATTAACGTCTAAATGACCCCTCACTTGCTCTAGTGCTCTTGGGAGGTGGTGATCTTTGGTGTATTTAAATACTCCGAAATTACCATCTCTTTTAAGGGTCTGAGCTGGTGGTGGAGCGGGTTAAGGCGTACCTGTTATGCCAGTTGCTGGAAGGCTTCTGTGCTGGCTAGGGTTCGAGTCTCCTGGTGGGAAAGTGTTCTAAAGTTGTACACTTCACTCTCGTGTTTTATATATATATATATATATATATATATATATATATATATATTTTTAATGGAAGGGAGTACCACCTCTAGCTGGAAGAAGGGGGACCCATAGCCTCGGAGGAAACCACGCATAACGCATTAGAGGGAATGTTTAGATCCCCTCCAATACAGTTTCTGTGTGCTTTTCTCCTACCACCCCCTTCCTTTTTTATTTTTTGTGCTTTATTATGCTTTTGATGGTTACAAGATATACATGGGTTGATACAAAAATAATAATGCAAAAAGGTGCTTAAAGGTGCCCAAAGGTTATGGATCTCTTGAAAAACACAACAATGGGAAACATTGATGAATGTCACAGACGGGTTCGATCATTGTTGCAAGTCAAACACTTCTTCGAATTCCTCTGAAGTTGGACTAGTGCCCAAGACGCAACAGGCATTTCCCCTCTGAATCGCAACACTGAGGCGCTGGAACAAGAAACTTTTTGCTCTCTGGTCTTTTGTAGCGCTGATCAATTTGTCCCCCAATTCCTTCAGGAACTTCAATGCACATTTTCCCCACGAACCGAGGGTCTCCGAGCCGATCGGAACAAAGCTGTAGCAGTGTGCTAGACCTCTGTATTTAATAATTTTCTGCGATTCCCTGAAAGAAGCAGCACCACCGCTTTCACGTGTGCTGTAGTGGAGGTAGGTACTGGCCAGTGTGGCAGCGCACGTGTAGTCCCATACCACTTGCTTACCATCCTTCCAAGGTAGCAAGGTGACCCCATCAGGGCGCTTCTGAGGGTCGTTAGGTCTGGATAAGTGTGGTTCTCTTTGTGCCGGGCAGCGGGCTGTGGCGAGGCTCCTCTTGATGATGTCGTTGACTTCTTCATGTCTTGCAATTTTACCCTGTGATTTACGACATACCAGACCATGACGACCATATTGGTCTGCCATCGCAGTTCCGCAGATGCACCTATGTTCGGTGAGGATGGGGGCGGCAAGGCGAAGGGCAACTCCAATGCGGAGAGCGTCATGACTGAGGCGAGTTCCCAGGGCTGCATTGGGCACCGCAAATAAGAAATCCCCGGCGTGGGGTGCTGTTACCGCTAGGAGGCGGGCTTTGTTTTCAGCATCAGCGTTGTCAATCATTGCTGTCACAGTCTTTTCCATTATGGGGCTATCCCAGTGGGCCTGCTTGTGGTCTTTTGGGACTTGTGGTCGGGGTTGAGGGTGTGCAATGGTGTCCCATTGTCTGGCTGCTTCGATGAACATTTGATCATGAGTTCCCGCTGTCTCTCTCATACGCTCTGGTAGGATCTGCCCTACCAATTCGTTGGCTGCTGTACATGAGGATAAGAATGCTGGAAGTGCTACCTCAGTTGCCTTTCGTATGCCTATCCCTCCAAATCTCACTGGTAGTGTTGCTTGGTCCCACTGACTGTCATCTAAATCTAGGTTGAGCGCCTTCCTGAATATTGACCTGAGGAGCTCATCATATTGATTTAGAAGTGGGTTGCCAAAAGTTGGTGCACACCTTAAGAAGTATGTTAGCCTGGGCAAGGTAAGGCACTTTGTGAGAAGGTAGAGGGCATCGTGGGAGTCCAAGTATATATATATATATATATATATATATATATATATATATATATATATATATATATATATATATATATATATATATATATATATATATATATATATATATATATATATATATATATATATATTGGTAGCAATCTTTCTTGTGAGCATATGCTGTTTAATATGACTGAAAGGGTAAGATTAATGATTCTAACACGAATCTTCTCAAAATTTCTTACGTTTTTCTTCACTGTCGAGGGTAATTGAAAAATTGACTATCCAAAGTTCATTTTCACATTTTATTTTTGCTCTGATACTTAGAAGCGTTTTGCAAGAGAGAGTTCATATATTTTCAAAGGCAAATTTTTACACACTGTTTCATGCTTAAATTGGTTTTTGGGTGAGGTTATAAAACACAAGTGTTTTTGGGTGAGGTGACAGAGGTTCTGTCACCTCACAAAAATATTAGCGATTTTGAACAAACGAACATTTACATTTTTATTTATATAGATAAATATATCAGTACTGGGTCAGCATCAGCGATATGATGACCCAACACAGTACACATAGCTGATAGCATTACAGTTTGTGACGTCCTTGCAGGCGAGGGTCCGTGATGGTGGTGAAGGTGGAGTCAGTTCCCTTGTTACTGGCTGCAGTTCTCCCGTTTCTGGTCGCTCATCCTCTTCTCCTAAATGGTAATGTGAGAACATTATATTAGCATATTTTGGTAGCAGTCTTTTTTGTAAACAAATGTTGTTGAATATGCCCGAAGGGGAAAGATTAATGATTCTATCACGAGTCTTCTCAATATTTCTTATGTTTTTCTTCCCTGTCATGGGTAGTTGAAAAATTAACTCTTCAAAGCTCATTATTACACTTTTCTCTAGTCTGACGCTTGGCAATGGGTTTCGCAAGGTACACCTTACATTTTCAAAGAAAATTTTATTGTGTTAAACATCGAATTATATACTCTTTGGGTGAGGTGGGGGATGAATGCCATAACAAGGGGGTATTACATATATCAAAGAATAAATGGATCAAGGGGTGTCAATGAATAAAAGGATCAATGAGTATCATTGAATAAATGGATCAAGGTGGATCAATGAATAAATGGATCAGGGGGTATTAGTAGGGCTATTGGATGCCGTGTCTGCGTTGGCTCTGGGTCTCGGAGTGGGTAGAATGTAATTATGTGTTAGCTGGTTGTTGATTGCTGGTCTCGACTTCTTAATATGTAGTGCCACGCTGATGTCCAGTCTCCTGCAGTCGTTATATCTGTCGATTATTTCAGTGTTGCTTGACAAGTTGTCTCTGGTGACTATCTGGTTGTGTGTGGAGATTATGTATTCCTTGATAGAGCCCTATAGTTTGTGCATTCTTAATTGCCTAGAGAGAGAGACGTTGTTGTCTTGCCTATATACTGAGATCGTTGGGGCTGACAGTCCCCAAGTGGGCATGTGAAGGCATTGACGACGTTAGTCTCTCTTAAGGCGCTTTTCTTGGTGTCTTGAGAGTTTTTTATAAGAGAGTGTTCGGTCTTCTTGTTTTTGTAGTAAATTGTTAGTTGCATCTTCTGATTGGTGTCTGTGGGGATAACGTTCCTTTCAAAAATATCTTTCAGGACTCTTTCCTTTGTTTTATTGGCCGTGGAAAAGAAGTTCCTGTAAAACAATCTAATAGGAGGTACAGTTGGTTGCTTCTTCAGAGGTTGCATGGTGTGTCACCTTCCTTATAATGAATTATAAGGTGTACCTGACGAAATGCATCCTCAGGCGTCAGACTATAGTCAAGTGTAAAAATTAACTTAGAAGTTTTAATTGTTTAACTTCTCTTGACAGTGAAGAAAAACTTAAGAATTATTGAGAAGATTGGTGTTAGAACATTATATATATATATATATATATATATATATATATATATATATATATATATATATATATATATATATATATATATATATATATATATATATATATGCAACAATGATCACAAAAACACTGATCCAAGTATGCAGAATAACCACATATGAAAAATAGAAAATGCTTAACGGTGAAAATGATTCTACTTTGCTCTGATGAAGGCGAATTAGCCGAAAACGCGTTAAGCATTTTCTATTTTTCATATGTGGTTATTCTGCATATATATATATATATATATATATATATATATATATATATATATATATATATATATATATATATATATATATATATATATATATATATACACATAACTGGAAACTCACACCCCCAGAAGTGATTCGAACCCATACTGCCAGGAACACTCTGCAACTGGCGTACAGGACACCTTAATCACTCAACGAACACGACCCGAGAAAAGATGATGGTAGCCGAGGCTAATTCCCCATCATCCCACAGGCACTCTGATGGTAATCTTGGGCATAGTATCTTATCAAATCACCTCATTTACACGTGAGGAACACAAATGCGAACAAGCCTGAATGGTCCCCAGGCATATATGCAACTGTAAACTCATTCAGGGTGTGAGTTTTCAGTTGCATATATGCCCAGGGACCATTCAGGCTTGTTCGAATTTGTGTTCCTCACGTGTGCCCCAAAGATTGAGGTGATTTGATAAAATACTATGCCCAAGATTACCATGATGCAGTTACTACGGGGAACACGGGCCACAGGGATCAGAGCCTCGTTGGACGTAGAATCACTGTTTACCGACGTACCTGTAAATGAAACAATCGGGATGATAGAGGACAGAGTGTATCGTGATCCGGCTTGTACTCCTCTTGACATACCAGAAAACATTCTAATGAAACTATTCCAAGCTTGTACTAAAGAGGCACCCTTCTTGAGCCCAGATGGGCACATGTATAAGCAAGTAGATGGGGTCGCCATGGGTTCTCCCCTAGGTGTCCTGTTTGCAAACTTCTACATGGGTACCATCGAGCAGAAGGTCTTAGTTGACTTGGACTTGAAACCTGCCATATACTGCAGGTATGTTGACGACATTTTTACACAGGTACCTGATGTCAGACATCTGCAGGAGCTGAAGGAGGCATTCGTGCAGAATTCTGTATTGAATTTCACTTACGAGATGGAGAAGGATAGGAAGCTCCCCTTTCTAGATGTAACAGTCACGGAAAGGAGCAGAGGCTTCCACACTGCAGTCGACACTAAGGAAACAAACAAAGGAATGTGCCTCAATGCCAATAATGACTGCCCAGACAGGTAAAAGAAGAGTGTTGTCAACGCTTACATCGACCGTGCTCTGAGCTACAGCTCAGGATGGAAGCAGGTCGATAAAGAATTCTGTAGGGTAAGGCAGGTCCTAGTCAACAACTTCTCTAATGGTTTTGTTGAAGACATCATAAAAAGAAAGGCAAAACGCCATGCACACTCTGAAGAGACAACTAACACAACATCATGATTCATAGAATTGGTAGGAGTTTCAAATTCAATGTGTATAGGAAACCTACCAATGTGTGCTCGTATGTACATTTCTATTCAAATCATCATGTTCAGGTCAAGCGGGTAGTTTTTTCTGGTATGTTTCTCAGAGCACTGAGAGTTTGCAGTCCGGAATTTTTCGATGAAGAAATAGCAAATATATTTGAAATTGGGAAGAAGTTAAAATACCCAAAATCGATCTTGGATCTTGCGTTTGGTCAAGCAAAAAGGACTTTCTACAAACAGACTACTAAGTCTAAACCGGAACTGAAAAATTCGTTGGTATTACCATATTCTGAGGGTCTAGTAAATCTTGCCCCAGCCCTGAAGAACCTTAATATTAATCTAGTGTTCAAAAATGATAATACAGTTAAGTCCATGTTAATTCAGAACTCGCCCTCGTCTGTAGCAGGTTGTGTGTATTCCATCCCTTGTATTGAGTGTGTGTTACGGACCCGAGTCCAGCATCGGAGCACGGAGCAGTGACGACAACGCCATCTGTGAGTCCGCTCCCGAAAAACACTCCAAATGGACGACGCCATCTAGTGGTGACAGGATAGGCCAGCAATAAGTGTTGGATTCCTGTCCTTGTCAGCTCATGACGTAGCCACTGCTGACCTCTGGTGAGGTGGCGCCTAGACAGCAACTCCATCTATGGAGTGAAGAGGTGGACGTTTCTGTCTAAACTTGTGAGTGAAGCGTCCCAGTATTAATGACGTGTCTGATTGCAGAGTCGACCTGGGACTGCTGTGTTGGACGATGGACCAGTCTACCCAAGGCAGCCAAGGTCTCTCCACCAGTCTGCTGAAGAAGCTGTGAGCCACCCCTGGACGAACTCTGTTGAGAGTATATAGCCTGCCTGAGGAGTGGCAGTGTTGAGAATCGCATTATCCGGGGTTGGCTGGTGGAGGAGACCACCCATTGGGGTGCTGTATGAGGAGAGTGACCAGCGAGTCACACAAGGCTCCTGGCTAGGGCACGCAACCCTAAGTATTGGTCGTTGAGTGGCCTACACAGCGGAGCTGATCGGTACCTGCCAGCTACAGGCTGGATTGTGGTTGAAGGCCTCCACGACGAAGCACCCAGTGAGACTGTGATTTGGCTGGCCTGTGGCCAGGGTAGATTCGTCGTAGAGTTATTGTGGATTCATTGTGAGCCACGGAAGCCAAGATCAGGGCTACCCAGAAGAAGCATTGCCGAGTGTTGAGCGTCTTCAGAGAGGGAGACTTCATTGTACATTGTGTAGTTATAATTCCCTTTTATGACTTTAAATTATGGTGGTGGAAATATATATATAAATTGGAATATTTGTATCCCTCCCCCTTTAGTTTTACTTGCATTACGGAACACACCCCTTGAAAGCCTCTACTAACTTGGGGCCGGATTCCAAAACTCTACTACCATCAAAGAAGAACCCGGTTGCGTCCCCGTAGGGCCGTAACAGTGTGCATGTGTTTACATCTGCCAGACAGGTAAATCTCTTTCCTCGCGTTTAAAACAGCATTCATATGCTATTCGTACAGCCCAGCAATCCAGTGCATTGTATTTACATTCCAGTTTATGTAATCATTCTATCGACTTCACAGGAGCAAAATGTATTGTTAAAAGTAAGGATTTTGTTGAACGAAACGTGATCGAGTCTGCTCTGATCACATTGTAACAACAGCCTTAATGTGAGCCCCGGTATGTACAAGTTGGATCCCTATTTAAGCCTCAATATAGCACGTCAAAACAATATAGCAATCATTTAACACGTATGGCACTTGGAGATATTAATAGGAGCTGCCTCGTATGGGCCAATATAGGCCTTCTGCAGTTACCTTCTTTCTTATAATTCCTTTCCTCCACTTATTTTTGGTGGTCAGGTGATCTGCCCAGGCGGATATAAAGGTCTGATCAGCAATCTTATCTTCATTCTACTTTGCTCTGATGATGGTGAATTAGCCGAAAACGCGTTAAGCATTTTCTATTTTTCACATGTGGTTATTCTGCATACTTGGATCAGTGTTTTTGTGATCATTGTTATATATATATATATATATATATATATATATATATATATATATATATATATATATATATATATATATATATATATATATATATATATAACACGCAAAGGACTCCATCCCTGCAAGAGACTCAAACCTAGAAGGCCCAGGTGTTCAAGCACCCAGTCACCCAGTCACAACCAGTACTCTGACCCCTCCACCACTTGTTAAGGAACGTTCTCGGATCTTGGATAAATAGTCTCACGACAACCAAGACTTTTG